TGCTGATTCCAAATGAAAATGATCGAACAGAATGTGGATATTTTCAAGCAATATCATTAATATTACATGTAAGTAAAATTTTGCTGAAGGTAAGTACAAAATGATTGCAGCAGTTTATCAGCAGGGGACTACTGGAAAACCACACTTGATTCAGAAGAGGACATAAAACAAGGGGTATTCTTGCTGATGGCAGATAGATCTTGGCTAAAAGTATAAAACACCAAAAGGATATTTACTTGTATTTCATTGACTGTACAAACATATTTATTTTGCTTTGTAGGATTTTAATAAATTATGGATGACTGAAAAGTTTGGAAATTACTAGAAACCTAATTGTGCTTACGTGGAATCTGTACATAGTGCCAGAACAAGGAATGCTGCATGGTTTAGAAGCAAGAAAAGTATGAGGCAGCATTGTATCCTTTCACTTAATCTTTATGCTAAGCAAATAAACCAGGAAGCTAGTTTATGAGAGAAAGAACACAGCATCAAGATTGGGGATATAAGGAACCTGCAGTATGCAGATGACACAATTTTATTTGCTACTTTTAAACACTTAATGATGAAAAAAAAAAACTACAGTCTTCAGTATGTATTGTGCCTCATCGTAAAAAAATCAGACATCCTCGTGTGAAACAGATAAGTTTTCAAGAATTTCACTTTATTTGGGTACACAATTAGCCCCCATGAAAGCAACAGTAAAGCCATTTAAAAGACATACTGTATTGGGCATATCTGGAAGTCTTGGGGAAATCTTTAAATATTTTAAACAGCTGAGATGTCACTTTGAGATGGAATTGACTCAAGCCATGATGTTTTTAAGCACCACCAAATAATTGAGTCCTTCAAATCACTGTGCTGGTGAAGAATATTGAATATCATGGGCCCCCCAGAGGATGATCAAATCTCTCTTGAAGGAAAGGCAATGAGAATGCTCTATAGAAGAGAGGAGAGCAAGGCGTTATATCACATACCTTGTGCATGTTGTCAGGTGGGACCAGTCTCTGGAGAAGGACATAATTTTTGGTAAAGTGGAGGGTCAAAGGGAGACCTGGTGACTTAGTGGTAAGGAGTTACACTGTCATCCCAAAGATAGGCAGTTTTAATCTACCAGCTGCTCTGTGAGAGAAAGATGGTCAGTCTTCTCCATTACAATTTACTGTCTCCGAAAACCCAGTAAAGGATTAGCTGTGGTTTAACTCCCACTTGACAGAACCTAACAATCACAGAACATCAGAGGAAAGGAGGAAGACCTTCAAGGAAAAGGATTGATTAAGTGGTTTCAACAGTAAAACTCAAACTTCACATTAATTATAAGGATGGCACAGGAATTGAGAGTACTTTGTTTATTGTGTTAAGAAGTGGTCTGAGGTCAATGCCACCTAATAACAACAAAGACATGTGATTCTTGAGATGTCCGACCCACTGCCACTTAGATTTAGTAACTAGAAGCTGGTGACTCGTTTCTCTCAACTTTCACCTAGAAGTATTTAATAAGTTATCATTTGGTCTATCAATAGTCATGTTTATGCAATCCATATCTGATTAGAGTTGGGTTTAATTTGTTTGTGTTTTAGAATTATATCCACAAACCTTTCTTGTGAAACAATTCCACTTTGAACCTCTGACCTTTTGGTTATCAGTCAAGCAAATTGACTGTTTGCACTACCCAGGAACTACTTGGTTCTTTTCATACTTTTATCTTGCCCACAAGAGTGTGGCGGTGCCCATGGGAGGTGTAGTTAGTCTTTGAAGAAAGGACACTGTGTCTCATCATTGTTCTGTTGCTTCTTATTACTCACAGCCTACCACAACCTTAGGAAAAAATGGTATGAAAACAGGCAGTTTTCTGAGAGCAGGAGGGATCCTGGCTCCTTGGTTAGGTCACTGATGCTACCGTAGACACGACAACATTATACTCTCCTTTTTCAGTCAGAATTAGCCTACCAAGCTGAGCCCTTCTCGCTTGCAGCACCATTAAGGGCCCATTGCAGCAGAAGGCCATGGCCATCTCCTCTTGACTGAGACAAAGCCCTACCTACACTGGATCATGTCTTCTTCCAAGTCTACATGATGAGAAAAGAGTGTATTTTTGCTGGCTCGCTACAAGTGTGCAGTTGTAGCTGTCAGATGCTATTGAGTCACTGACAACTCATAACAACCCTGTGAACCACAGATCTGAACATAGCCCTATTCTGCACCACTTTGCGGTCTCCACTGTGCTTGAGCCCAAGCAAGTAAGCAGCAAATGCTGAAAATCTTCCTTGTATCCTTTTCTGCACATAAGCCCTGGAATCTAATAGTTGATGTAGATTTTAGATAATGTTTATTCCTCTCATTTGGTTTTACGAATGAAAAATCAACCCAGAAAGGAGATGTTACTAAAATGTATTGAAAACCTTCACAACCCTTTCTGGTGACTGTTGAAATCAGGGAGGATGCATCCACTGTTGCTCTACGAGGAGAATTCTGTACCTGAGGAACTAGACATCACTTTTAAAAATAGAAACTCTGTGCAGAAAAAAATAAGGACAGTTCCTGTACACCTTTACCTGTCTGCATCCATTTTCTCCTTTTGTTAATGTGTCATATTTCATGCAGATGTTGAAGGAATGTTGATAAAGTCCATAGTTTACATTATTGTGTGTAATGCCGCCCTCTTAAGTTTTTACTAGTCATACTGTGATGTGTCCATGGTCACAGTATCATATAAATAATAGTGCCCTGAGCCATAGGTGAGTACCTCCCTGCTATTTCAAGTCTCCAAGTGGCTTCACAAAACAAAGATGGACAGTCTCCTCCCGTGCAGTTTACAACCTCTGAAAATTCACTGTAGGGTCAGCTCTGAACTCGTCTCAGCTGTTCATTCTGAGACTGAGCCTGAGCCTCATTCTGTCTTTTCCACCTACATCTTTCTAAAACTAAAAAATAAGTTTTAAAATAATTCCATCTGGCTGGTAACATTTATAAATTACTTATGTATAAAATCAAGGGCATTTTCTGCTTTGCAAACTTTTCTCTAATTCTCTTAATTCTTTATTAGGTAATAACATTTTTAACTCTACAGTATCGTGTCCCCCAGTTAGAGGTCCATGTTACCTTAGCAGCTGCCTTTTCCACCCCAACAGATAATGTGAATTTCAGGAACTCAAAAAGGACATCTCCAGGTTCTTACAAAATCTTTGTGACATTATCATATGTGTAATGGGATCGGGTTTGTATTTTTGTTTTGTTTTGTTTTAATGAATAGAATAAGGTAGTTACACTTAGTAATACTCACTCACCAATAGGAAAGGGAGACATTAAATCATTGTGGTTTTTGATGAATGGCTTGTACACTGAAAAATAAATTGAACAAACTGGCATAGAGCTCAGTGAACATGAAATCAGCTATTAGAAGAGAGCTTGTGAACAAATTCTGAGGCAGATATGCATCTTTTGATTAATGTCCTATCAATCACCCACACTGGCTACCTTACTAAGTCTTACTGTAATCATTCATGGTTGCTTATGGAACCGCTGGCAGAAACTATAACACTGCAAAAACGAAATATTACTACTGATTTCTCCCTAACTTACTGTGAACAATGACTGTTTTCATCAGGTTTCTGCTTTCCTTTATTAAAGAATACAATGCAAAATGAAAAGAGAGATTCTCAAAGCCCAGTGAAATTCTCCTAGGGCATTCTTAATGATATTCAGTCTTAAACGGGCAAGCTATTGTAATACAAGACTCTCTCTAGCAATATTGTAATGTAATCCCATTGAAGCCACCCTTTACGGATTGTAGTCAAATAGGAATAGTGTATGTAGAGTCACATTAATGCACAGAGTATATCTTTGGAATTATTACTGAAAATTATTGAAATGGCTTAGATTTTGCTATTGTAATTAGAATATTCTCAGTTAATGTGCTTAACAGAAATAGTAATTAACACAACAGATTGGAAATTTGCATGAATTCTACCTTTGATATTACAAGAAAAAATTCTTCCTGGGTATTATTACTTCACAGGAAAGCTTGGGAGGAGATGAGGGACACACATATATATATATATTAGATGTTTTTATTCCCATCAGTTATTTTTTTTTAAATATCCACCGATTTGTTCATAGTTTTTTATGCATTTTAATCTGTAGGCGGGTTCCTTTAAAGCTCATCATTCTTATAAAAGGATTTAGTACTTAAACTGTGATGGTACACAGAACAATGGACACTGCCTACTAGTTGAGCAATCTTTAGTAATATTGTGACACCCTCTGAACTTCCTGAAGCCTGGGAAATCCTGTGGCATAATGAAGTGGTGACAGACATTAGCATACATAATGGGCTTCAATAGACATTTAATGCTGTTTAACTCGAAGAGGGAGCTGTGTTCTCCCATTGGAATATTCTTCCATCGAAGCACATTGATCACCGATTTCAGCAGGGAGAGGTTAATCCATCAGCTCCTGTAACCAGACGGCACTGATGGAAATTCTTTAGGTGGCATTCTGGATGAACCAAGCTTTCCATCTTTACAAACAAATGAGTGATATGACAAGCATGGTGTTCAAAACACATTTAACCAATTGATTTTCTTTCCTCTTGTAATAAGATCTAGAGACATATGAGTGCGTGCAGTGGGAGCCAAGATTGAAGGGATTGTTCCATGCACCGGAGCATGTGGAACTGCAGAACCAATCAGAGTCCTATAATGTATGAAGGCCCCAGTCTCTTTTTTATATAAAGTTTGTTATTGCAATAAATAGTTGTTATTTAACTGATGCCTTTTATCTCACAGGTCTGTGTATGTGCATGTACACTTGTAGATCTCATCTTGTGGAAGTTCTCAAGATGTTTGCTAATAGTTATTTTCAGCTTCTAATAGAAATAGATTGAATGTGCTTCAGGATGATATAATTTACAAATGTTAATGGGTGAGCATTGTATGCTTTGGGCATTGTGTTTCTTGAGTATCATTTGAGTGATTGTCATCTTATTTATCTCCCACTTGCAGCCCTGCCTTGAGCTTCACCTACCCTTCTGCACCTGTTTCTCTCCATATGCATCAACAAATCTTAAGTCGACAGCAAACCTTGAGCTCGGCCTTTGGACATAGTCCTCCACTCATCCACCCTGCTCCAACATTTCCAACACAGAGGCCTATTCCAGGAATCCCTACTGTTCTGAATCCTGTCCAGGTCAGCTCTGGCCCATCAGAGTCCTCACAGGTGAGATAGCTCAATGTCACCAACTATTAGTAATTTAAAAAAAAAATAAGAGTTCTTTTCCTCCCATAGGAAAAAATCTATACATAGGCAGTTACTGGATTCTGTTGAGTTATTCAAAGATATATCTAGAGAATCAGGCTTTTTCTGTCTACCTCATGTTCACAAGATGGGTGCTGCAGTGCCAGACATCACTTCACTTTCCAGGAAAGCATAAGAAACAATATAATGCGATATTAATAATCATAGGGAGGAGTCATCCTATCTGCTATAGTAACTCTAACAGCAGATGGTCACACGTATTTAGTTTTGATGAACATTTTATGTACAGGCAGTCTCAGGGTTATGAATGTTCAACTTAAAAACTCTACTTGCTCTTTAATGTTAATATATATTTGCCCCTATTTTGAAATAATTGAACCAACTTCTACTCACAACAAATTCTTCAAATCCTCTTCACTTAATAATATGCAGCTTTTAAATCATCAAAAAGGCTTCAAGTCTTTTCTTTCACTAAATTTAAGGAGTCAGGTGTAAGACAAAATGAAAATTATACTCACATTTTCAACTTAAAAATTTTCAAAGACATCAGAATGGATCCCATTTGTTCATCATCTGAGGGCCGCTGTGTATGTGTCACATTAAATAAATGATAGCTTCTCCCACCAGTTTCATTCTATTAGTCCCAGTGAAATGAATGTGCAATAATCAGATTTCTCCTATCTGGTCTCTGTCCTGTTTCTCTGCTATGCTAGAACCGAGTGAGTGCTGAGGCTCATGATATACTAGAATAGAAATGAAATTGTTCTGTGCCCTGTCCTCATCGGTTCACTGATGCTGAGAGAAGACCCTGGATACACTAAATTAAAGAACTTGGCAAACGGTACCATGTTGGTTTTGTGCCCCTCTCAGAACTTTGTTCTTTGAAAAACACTGTTGGAGCTTATTAAAGCCTAGGGTCTTGGTTCTATTCTTCTCGCTTTTGAAAGCCATCGGAGGAGTTAATACTCATGTGTTAAAAGTGACTGACTCCCTCAAGCATGTACTATCCAGTCTTGAACGTATTTTCTGAGCTTTGTTGCAGCAGCCTTGGAGCTTTACCAGAGTCATTTCTCCAAATGAAACTGTTCTGAGTTACCAGTTTTAATTATAATACTGCACACTGATCACACCTGATTTTTCCCTCTGGCCCTGGAATTAAAAGCAGCAGCACAAACCTACAAGTGAGTCAGCTGTGAGCAGCACTGGAGACCCTATGCACAACAAGAGGTCCAAGATCAAACCCGATGAAGAGCTTCCCAGCCCAGGTGCCCAGAGTCAGCAGGTAGGACTTAGTCCCTCCCTCCCTTGAAATCAGCATTTCCTCCTCTGCTGTGTTGGTTGGCCTTGACATTGCCATTTGACAAAAGACCAATTTAGAGTCTCAATTTGTTTTTCTAGCTCAGAAGCAAAAACAAAAATAGAGGATACTGGAAACGTGTTGTATTGGAATGCCTGGATTGTCCTAACAGTTAACTTGCTTAGTTTCTATCCAGAAGTTGAAAGAGTCTTGTCCACCTGGTGAGCTACTGGAGAAAGATAGCATTGGAAGCCCTGTGGGACAGATCTACTTTGACACTGTGGAATTGCCATGAGTTCAAATGGATTTTGGGCATCATGTTAATATAAAGTTTAGACTCAGAGGTGTAGTCAAATGTGGCTTATCAAGTAAATTCTCATGGCTGTTGAATCATAACCCTCTGTTAAGTTTCAGAAGATGTAAAACATGTGGAAGGAAATGGCTCATCTTTCTTCCAAGGAGCCACTGATGGATTTGAACCCTCAGCACCACAACTCCCTATGAATTGCACCACCAAATAATTGAATTCTTTTGTGACAGACAACAGATGTGACCAAGCTGCCTTCAGTCCTTGTGCCTAATTTCATGGCTGTATTGGGGCTCTAAACTCCTGGTAAGAAGGCAGAGCTGATGGTCATGATCTTACGTTGCCGTTGTTATATGTAACCAGGAGAACCTTGACAGGCAGGAAGGATCAAACCAAGATGATTAGTGTTAGATTCTAGTTTCTTACTTAAGAAAGAGCAAGTTTAGACATTTTATCAAGATTCTGCTGTTAAGCATTTTTTTGTTTGTTTGTTTGTTTTGTTGGGTTCTTTTGGTCTTTCCCCCCCCCCCTTTACTAGACAGCTTTATTTCACCCTGATTATGCCATGAATTCATAAGGAATAGGTTCCAGCAGCTCAGGCTCCTTTCCATACGTTCTCACAAAATGTGCCTCTCTGTGAGGTGTTTCAGCTGGACCCAAGTGCCTTTCTCCTTGGCTTGCATCTTTTCCTGGTCATTTTCCTTCACTCATTTCCGGCATTCTTATCCTCAGTTTAAACATTAATAGTTTGTGCCCCTGGCACTTTCTCATTCTCAAGAATGGGCTCCTTAAGTGTACAGAGAGAAGTACAGAGAGAGTATCATGAGCATTGAAACCTTTCCTCCCTTTTGCATTTTGCTAGGCAGCAGCCTTGGTTATGCTTAAACACTTTGCACTTTTTTTCAGGTAGCCCCAAGAATTCTGGAAATTCATTGTGTTCTCACTGTTTTAAAGTTGCCTTAGATACCCAGAAAGGACTAGACCCCTGAACTTCAACTACTGTGATTCTTGGGCAGTAATGGACAGCCTGTAAATGACGATCAGAGTTGAATCTAAAGGCATATCCCTATGAAGTCTGTACAATATCCATCATGGGCAAGAAAAGCAAACTTCAGAGTACACTAGTACTCCAAAATCAGTTCCCTGAATTACAAAATAAGAAGATAAACAGGTTAAAAACAGATAAACAGATTAAAATACCAGATAGAGTAGAAATCCTAAACAAAGTAGATGTATCAGACTTATACTTTGTGTGTAGACTATTGCTCTTAGTTACAGTCAGGTGGATTCTAAACTCATGGTGACCCCATGTGCTATAGAATAGAACTTCTCCCTGGGATTCCCTTGTTATCATTATAAGAAGGAGTCATCTGGACTCTTATTCCATAGTACTGGTAGGTGGTTCCAACCACCCTTAATTTAATGGATGACCACAAACCATTTGTGCCATTTACAAACTTTTGGGGTAAAATCTACTGCTTAAATGTTACTGCTTTTCTTACATGGTTTTATCTTGGGGCAAAATTTTATGTTATTTTAGGATAACAAATCAAAACTTTTTTTTTTTTTTGTTAAAAATATGCACAATAAACAAACCAAAAATCACATTCATTGCCATTGAGTTGATTCCAACTTATGATGAATGTCTGTGGAATTTCTGAGGTGTAAATCATTGGAGGAGGCTGCCCATCTTTCTCCCAAGAAACATGGGGGATTTAGACAATAGATCTGGGGGTGAAATAGTTAAAATGCTCAGCTGTTAGTCAGAGAGTAGACAGTTCACATCCACTCCTTGCTCCATGGGAAAAAGTGAAGACTGTCTTCTTGGCAAGGGTTTACGAAGTGAGCATTCATCAATAGATGAATGGTTGAAGTGCCATACATGCATACAATGGAATGCAGTGTGATGATAAAAAAGGATTTGTTCATCATCGCTCACACAACGTGATTAATCTGGAGGATATTGTGCTGACAAAATAAGTCAGTTACAGAAGGGCAAATATTGTATTCTACCAGTTTTACAAAAAGTCAGGAATATATTTATAAACAGAAAGCAGCATTCTCTTAGAGTTAACCAATAAAGGATGAAAAAGGAGGAAGGGAAAGCTCTAACTAAATAGTAAAAACCCCCACCAGATTTTGAAGGATGTAAATCCTCTTAGGAGGAGAATACCTATCTTTCTCCTATGGAACAACTGGTGCACTCTGACCTTTCAGTTATCAATCCATCATGGACTGCACTGTGCCACCAGGACTTACTCGAATAGTATGTTGTTGTTGTTGTCATTGTCATCATCATTGTCATTAGGTGCCACTGAATTGGACCAACTGGCCATCTCTCCTTTATGAATTTTTGTTGAGCTTATATACTTAGAAATTCTGTCATTAGATGTGTCAATATTTATTATAATCATATCCTTTTGGTGGATTGACTGATAATTGATCATTATATAGTGCTCTTCCTTGATTGTTATGATGGAGTTTGAGTTAAAGCTTATTTTATCATTCCTACTCTTTTTTGGGTACTGTTTGTTTGATAACATTTTTTTTATCCTCTCATGTATAAGCTGCTTCTATCTTCATGCTTCTGTGTCTCAAATATATTTCTTGTACTATGACTAACATACTGCTAAGACTTTTTAAAAACATGATGCTTGGGAATGATTGTAAGAAAAACAATGTGAATGAAGAATAGTGTGAAACACAATGTATATGGACTTTTTAAGCAAACTTATATAAAATAAGAATTTTAAAAAATAAAAAAAGTCATTCTACCATTTTCTGATTCTGGGCTTAATACACTCAACCCATTTACATCTAGTGTGTTTATTCATTTTGCTGTCTGCTTTGAAATCAGAATCAACACATAGCTGACCCTACAACAGGTTTTCAGAGGCCTTAAATCACAGAAGAGATGAGTGCCCAACCTTTTCCCAGAGAGTCGCTTGTAGTTTTTGATCTATGTGCCTATGGGATCGCAACACAGCTTCTTACCACTAGGCCATCAGAGCTCCCTGATTATTCACAGATACAGATTTACTGTTGTTATTTTATTAAGGATTTTTTGTGGTGCTGAAAATTTTGTTTCGGTTAATTCACTGAGCTGAGTTTTATTTTTGGTTTTTAAATGCATTGTCTTTTCATTTACTTTGTTTTGGTTGCTTTTGTGTTTATGGAGTTCCTCTTTTGGTAAGTACATTATTAAATTTCTTTGTGATGCCTCTTAAGATTTTTGTCTCCTTTAGCTTAAAACAAACTGTTATTTCTTGGTACCTCTCAGTGTGGAAGTTCTGTTATTATTCCATTCCTTCCTTTTTGTGTTTAACTTTTTGATGGGTGTCTCTGTTTCTCTGTTTTCATTTTGTAACTTAATTTTACTTTTGACAGTTCTTTATCCAAGCTCATATGTAAGTGATGCTGTTATGTGTTTTTATCTTAGATTGTTGTCTCTGATGTCAGCAATTTTCTGCCCAAAGAGCTTGATTTACTATTTCTTGTAAGGCAGTTTGCATTATCTAGGAATGTCCTAATTTTGTGACTATTTGAAAACCAGTTTTTCTGAACATGTGATTCTTGGCTAACGGTTCTTATCCTCTGAGGACTTCATATGTCATCCAGTTCCAGCTTTCCTTCTCGTTTATGCTGAGTTGTTGTTGTTGTTGTGTGCCATTGAGTCAGGATTGACCCATGGCTGACCCTCCACCGGGTTTTGCTTGGGAGGAAATAGCCCATCCTTCTCCCATGGAACATTTGGTGAATTGAAACGTGGGTATTTGGGACTACAGCACAGCTTCTTACCCTTAGGCCTCCAGAGGCAAAGGTTAGGCTTGTGAGTGCCCTTTTTCAGGTGATACTTGATTTCTCATGAGTAACTCTCAGAATTATTCTTCTCTAAGCATCTTTTTTATTATGTATTTATGAATTTTAATCTTGAAACTTAGCTAAACATATTATATGGAGTATAGAACTTAGAGGGAAGAAAAATTAACCAGGGTTCACCATTGAGGTGTTTGTGTCACATGTTCATTGTCATATTAGGCAAGCTCGGGTGGCCTAGTCCATTGGAATTTGAGCTGTTAACACAAAGAATGTGCCTTTGGGGTTCAAATCTACCAGCAGTTCTTGGAAGAAAGGTGAGCAATCTCTTCCCAGGCAATTTTTAGTCTCAGCAATCCAGTAAAGGGTTAGCTATAGATTGGTCCCAATTTAATGAAAGGGGGGGGAAAATATTGTTACATAAGTAGCCTTAGTGTTGTTGTGAGAATTATTCTTTTTGAATGTGGAATATGTGGTTAAAAGAAATCTTCTTGTTTTCCAGTGTTTTAAATTAAGGAAGCCTTCTGCCAGCAAAACTTGACAATATTTTTTCCTGTACTTTTAGTTTCCTTATGTCCTAGGAATTCCAATCAGTTGTACATTATACCTCTTGATAGTGTCCCATATAACATTTAGTCTTTCTTTCTTGCCTTTTTTTTATTGGTTTGTTTGCAAAGTTTATATACATTGTGTTTCACACGATACTTCATTCACATTGTGTTTCATACAATCATTCTCATACATTATGTTTTATAAAATTAATCACTATTGTAACTTGCCCATCAGTACCTTATCTTTTCACCCAGATCCTTTCCATTTACTACCTCCCCTCCCTCTACCCACCAAATTGTGCAGCCTTGTGGTTTCACCCCTACCTGTCCTCACTCCTCTACTCCCCAACTCTCCCCTTGAGTTCCTGTACATGTTTTACTCGTTATCTTTCTATCTTTACAATAATGGTCTTCTGTGGTATTTGTCCTTATAAGACTGCGTTAATTCACTCTACATAATACTCTCCAGCCCTCACAAGTTGCGTAGTATTTTTCAAAATTGTTGCTCCTTTATGCTGCATAGTATTCCATTGTGTGAATGTATCATAATTTCTCAATCCATTCGGTTGTGGTTAGACCTTTGGACTGTATGTTCTTGCAATGGTGAACAATGCTGCTGTGAACATTAGTGTACAAATCTCTCTGTGTGCCTCAGTTTTAATTTCCTTGGGGTACAATCCTAGTAGTGGAATAACTGGATCATATGGAGTTTCTATGCTCAACTTTTTTAGGAAACGCCAAACTGCCTTCCTGAATGGTTCCACCATTTTACAATCTCACCATCAGTGGGTGAAAGTTCACACCTCTCCACGTCTTCTCCAACATTTATTGCTTGTGCTGCCCTTAATATTCTTTTTTCTGATTGCTCCTCAGTGAAATTAATATCAAGGAATTTATCCTCTCTTTTCACAGATTCTGTCTTTCACTGCTGTAGTTCTACTTTACTTTTCTGTTAAGCTGTTTCTGTTATTTGACTGCTATTTTTTTTTAATCTTTAACTGGTTTTGTATGTTTTACAATTACCTGTGTATTTTTGGCATTTTGTTCCTTATTGTTTTCCTGAATTCTTCTAGAATTTGTCTCTGTTTTCTTTGTGTTTTCATTGATCTCTTAAGTATCCTACATACAAGTCTTTTGACTTTTTTATCTAGTAAGATCATTACTTGATCTTCCTCAGAATAGTTTTCTAATCTTTTCTTTAGTCATTTGTTGGAGTCATCTTATTCTCCTTCTTTCTGTGACTTGATATTGTCTGTTGTCTCTGAGGTGTCACGGTTTTATTTATTGATTTTTTTGGTCTGATGTCATGTCCTGTTTCCATGTGTCTGGGTAGATAGGTAGCTCTGCTACACTGGAATCAGTAATTAGTAATACTGGAGGCTCCTTACCTGTCTCTGAGTGGACAGTCCTTATGTATGTCTGGGTGGACAATCCTTACTTGTATCTGGGTGGACAGTCTTGGTGTGTCTCTGAGTAGACAGTCCTTACTCGTATCTGGGTGGACAGTCCTTACACATCTTTGGGTGGACAGTCCTTGCATGTTTCCTAGTGGACAGTCCTTACCTCTCTCTGGGTAGATAGTCCTTACATGTGTCTGGGTGAACAGGCCTTACCTTTCTCTGGGCAGACCGTATTTGCATGTCTCTGGGTGGACAGTCCTTATCCATCTCTAGGTGGACAGTCCTTGAATGTCTCTGGGTGGACAGTCCTTACCTGTCTGGTGGACAGGGCAGTGACTGGCAGTGTGACTTCAGGTCTCTCTATTCATGAGTCCAGCTGATAACTGGGAACAAGGAAGTGAGCAAGTGTTGGGCACCATCTGTCAGATCATTGGCACAGGCTTGCAAGGTGGCACCTGCCAAGAACCTGTGGTGCTTTAAGCGTAGTGAACATGTCAGGCTATGGGGCCACATGACTGTGCTCTTCTCTCAAAGCTTACAGGGTCGGCAGGGTGATGGTGGGGATCAGTTAAGTTGTTTCATGACACTGGGATGTGTAGGTTAATGGGTAAGAAATGGTGTTGCGCAGGTATTCGCATCATGCAAAGAGGAAGGTTGCTGAGTAAGGGATAAATTCAAGTACACATTGTTTCTAGAGTGTTCTTAATGCTAAGGTGTAGATCATCAGAGCACTCCTGCTATTCAGAGGAGTAATTTGCCAGCCAAGAGGGCTGAGAGGATGGGTGGAAGCCATAGCACCGCTGTTTAGTGAGTGGATAAGGTGGAGGTGATAAACAGGGGTAGGCAGGAAGTCAGGAAAGGAGATGAATGGTAGTTCCCAAAATTGTGGCTTCACGTAGTATGATTCATGTTTCTAGTCACCTAGAGTGTGGGACAGAAGGAACACTCATCCGTTCACTAGATGAGGTTATCTGGTCATTTTCTCTCTGCTTCAGTCAGCAACCAGGTTTTGGCCACATTCTCAGGATTTAGGGGGTCAGGCTGCCTATAGACAGGTCAGATGGGGATTATCTTTCCTTGTGTGCACCACCCACACTAAAGATCAGGAACTTTTGAATAAACCTATTTGTGTCCTAGCTCTCTCCTTGTTCTGTACACACTGGAATCCCAGAAACTTCCTATGCTTTCTTTGATCCAGATGGGGTTCTGCTCACCTTGCTTTCTACAAGTATATCCACTGGGTTTCCAAGTTTCTTACTGGGAATGCTGTGACATCGTCTTCCTTTGCACCTTATCTGGAATCACTACTGGCTGTGTGTCCGCCTGACCATGCTAAGCCAAGCATGTTCCAAGTCCCTCATTTACCGTGTTCATTCTGTTTCTCCTTCCATTCGATGGTTGATCCAGTTCATCATCCTTCCTTCTAATATCCAGGTTTTCAAGGTTGTCAGCTGCATCTGTGTTTTGGGTCTTTGTTGTAGAGGAGGGGTCCCTAGGACCCCTGTATTTCAGTTTTTTGTTTGAGCAGCACGGTGAGTAGTCTTGGGTACTATTTTATATTTCCTGATAAACTACATGGGGAGAAATACTGAATCAGATTTTTTGCTTATTTCTCTTGCCTTTACAAAGGCAAGCCATCACCTTTTCTCCTCTCATGTCTGATTTTTTTTCCCCCTCCCTCCCCATCTTCTGGTTTCTTAGGAACAGCCAGAAGGAACAACCCTGGTAAAGGAGGAAGGGGACAAAGATGAAAGCAAGCAGGAGCCTGAAGTAATCTATGAGACAAACTGCCACTGGGAAGGCTGCACCAGGGAGTTTGACACCCAGGAGCAGCTGGTGCATGTAAGTGTATGGTTGGTGTGGAGGGTCTGAGCTATACTCTGTGATCTTTCCCAGTGAGGTGGGATTCCCTGACCCTGTGCTGAGTCAAGTTTCTTTGCCAGCAGCATTGCAAACTGGAAGGAGCTTTATGACTTTCTAAGAATAAAGAAAACTCTGAGCCACAGTGCTTGACCTGTTCAGTCAGCTAAAGCTTAGTGTAAAATTCAATAAACTCTTCAATAGAGAGTGTAATGACTCTGATCCTGTAAGCCTGAAAACACTATTTTGAGTTAGAGACTTTGATGGTTATTGAGTAATAGTACGCTGGACATGAATTATTATTAACCTTTTAACCAATTTCATTCCCTCTTCCAAGGCCCGGTAGAAATAGAAAAAAATCATAGGCATTCTGCCTTCTTCTCCTCAGAGCCTAAGGAATCTCCTATTATTTTATGCAATAATTAGTATACTTTGTGATGGCAAGTGGATGATTGAGGTAAACTGTTAAGTACAATTTTTTTTTTACTTGAGGCCACGATTGTGAGGTTATGAGCTTCACAGGAAAAGTTGTATCTATTTTTTAATGTGGTTACTGATTTAAAATAAAAGAACAAAATAACGATAATGCTATGACTGGATCAGATTGAGAAACAGACCTTTGCTTACCACAACTGAGCGAGAAACCTAATACTCACTCTGCTGAGTTGTTGTTGTGTGTACCATCAAGTCAGAAGCAACCCATGGCTGACCCTCCAGCAGGTTTTCAGAGGCAGTTCTTAATCATATGGGAGGAGAGTGCCCATCTTTCTCCCACAGAACTCTGGTGGCCTAGTGGTAATACTACAATCCCAAAGGTGCACGGTTCACATCTACCAGGTGCTCCAGTGCAATGATATTTGGAATATCCCAGATAACACAGCCTAGTAACTGAGGCTGCTGCACAACTGTACACCTCATTAGCATTATGCCCCTTCCTGCATTAGATCTTCTGAGGGTTTAGTGTTAAGGATATATACTGCTAGTACAAAGTCATGCAATTCAAATCCTCCAACTGCCCCAAGGGAGAAAGATGGTCAGTCTTCTCTCATGTGATTTACTGCCTCTGAAAACCTGCTGGAAAGTCAGCCATAAGTCATTTCCAACTAGAGGATATGTAACAATGGCAACAACAATAATAGTTCCTGGAGTCTGCATCCCTGGCATATGGAAACAGAAGCCACTGAGAGAGATGGACATATAACAATCAAGAATAAAAAGATAGTGTCTTCATTCCCTCTGCAGAAGCACAAGGTCCTATTAATGCATTAAGGCAGCTGCAGTGCATGTAGCAGTTTCAGAAGCTTTTAATATGACAGCAAATCTGACAGTCTTCTGTGATCTCCCCCCTCTGTCCTCTTTCTTAGACATAGACACAAACACACACAATCAGTTCTCTTCCCTTTTAGTGACTTTGATTCCTGTGTGATTCCTATTTCTTGTTAGCTTGCTTTTGTTTAGATAAACTTCTAAAACTCATGCATTACGCATGCATTTTAGGAGGCACAAATTTTATTTACTTGGTTTTGCTTTTTTAATATACTTTATTGACAGCTTAGTCTATAAGGAGTGAAGCTGCTAACTCAAAGGCTTGAATCCACCAGCTACTTTGGAGGAAAAAGATGGGCAGTCTCCTCCTGTGGGATTTACAGCCTCAGAAAACCTATGGGAGGGTCAGTTATGAGTTGGTTCTGACTTGTCTGTAATGAGCGAGTAAGTGAGTTATTTTTAGAACACTTTGAGATTTCAGAAAAATTGCACAGAGGAGTGTACCAAGAGTTCCCATATGCGCCTTGTTCGCACTGCACACTTTCTCATTTTCACATCTGGCTTTGCTGTGGTGTATTTGTCGCAACTGAGGAATCGATAGTGATGCATTTTTATTAACCAGTAGTGCAGTTTATGCATTTGTGACATAGTCTTTAGGGAGTTACACTACTGTCTAAAAAGTCTTATCTCTCTGTTAATTTGAGCACCAGCGTCTCTAAGTAGAAGGATGAGTAATCTCCAGTCCACCAGCGTCTCTAAGTAGAAGGATGAGTAATCTCCTCCTGTGTGATTTACAGCCTCCAGAATCTCACTGGAGGGTCAGCTGTAAGTCGATTGTGAACTGATGGCAGTGAGTTTTGAGAAATGGGTTTGACAAATGCTGAGATTATGTATGTGCCATTGAGTGTCCTACAGAACAGCTCAAGCCCTGAGAAGAGTGCTCTGTGTTCCATCTATCATCCTCCTCTCTCTCTGGCAGCCACACACATGAGTTTTTGAAATGTGTCTTCTGTATCTTGGCCCATCCTAAGTAACCAATTCCACACAGTGCAGTTACAGTGAACTGTTAAATATACTACCTTCCAGGTTTTGAAAACTATTATATACAGATACAGACTGCTTTGAGGATTTACATTAGCAGATTTCTCTCCTTTATTTCTTTTTTTAATCCTCTCTCCTTATAATTGTATAGAAAGAGTTACAGATTTATTTCCATAATGAGAAAGCCAAATATTTTTAATTAAGACGTATTTTCCAAGTTTTCAAATTAATTTTATTCTTTCTTTTTAATTAGATGCAGATACTATTTTTAAGCAAAACCTGACTTTATGATCTTTTATTCTTCCTGACTTTTAATTGAAGCCACAAAGACATTGGAATACTGGGAGGGGGTGGTTCTTGGAATTTCTCTTTTTATATTCTTAAGTGACTATCTTCAGTGACAAGCAACATAAGTGAAAAAATCTGTATAAAAGTTGTCAACATGAAAACGATGTTGGCTGGCTGCTTTCTATTGTAAAAGTCATAGATGCAAGTTCACGACTCCTTTTTGAGTACTAGTCAACTGGACATGAGTTATTTTAGTGGAACTTTTCATTGGCTGTTGTCATGTTTCCAAGGAGTGTTTGTGATTAGGTTCAGCAATTATCAAATGTGGAGGAACAAAATAGGAGCTTCTTTCAAGTCAACATTTAAAATTAATTTGTTCCTGATTGGAGGCCAAGATTCAGGTGCTATTCTTACAGGTATGGAAAGGATAACAACTCTTTCACTGTCTGACTATTTTGGAGACTTATTGAACATAGTGACTACTGCAGGGATTTGTCTCCACAACAAACAGATTTTAAGTAGTGATGATTTTTTAATAGAGAGTGCTGCTTAGATAAAGCTACTAAACTAAATGACCAGCATACTGTTCTATCAAAACAATCTTTTAAAAAAAAATTAGCACCAGGTATGTACAGAATATTTTCTTCTCCTTAGAGTAAATTTATGTCAGAATTAGGAGAAAATTCAATGTTTTACCTGTTTGGTGTTAATTTTTACCGGAGACACATTTAATGAGGAAGAGAACTTAAATTAAATCTGCTGAAAATAGTTTGCACCAGTATACATAAATATCAGGCTGGTGACACTGTTTATCACTTGGCTGCAAATCAAAATTTGGTAGTTCAAGCCTACCAGCTGCTCCTAGAGAGAAAGATACTTTTTTAAAGAGTAAAAACACAGCCCACATCAAACCCTTGGTGTCACGGGCATTCCAATTCATAGCAGTCATGTAGGAAACACAGAACAGTCTCATAGAGATTCTAAGGCTGTAAATAAATCTGCACTAAAGCACACTACCGTATCTTTCTATCTTGGAGTAGCTGGAGGGTTCAAAAGCTAAATTTCTGGTTCACAGTAAGATGTTTAGTCACTGTGCCACCAGAACTACTCCTGGAAAGACCATACCTCACAAACTCTGTGGGATCGTTCTGCTCTGCCCTCGATGTTGCTTTGAGTCAGAGTAGACTCTATTATTTATTTGCCTTTTTGCATTTTCCATCTTTTCATTCTGTATCCGAAGTATGACAATTTAACCCACAAGTATTTAAATTGATTTAACTTTGCCAATATACAATTACCTCCACACTCCATGATGTATTTAGTAGCATTAGAAGGGACCTTTATTTATTGGTGCTTTATTTTTTTTGTTGACTGAAGGAATGTCTGCTTGTCCTTCCGCCTAATTAGTTTGATGAAGAAAGAATAGAATCTGCAAAAAAAAAAACAACAAACACCAGAGTTTTAGGGACAGAGAGAGAAGCACTGGCTGTTTTAGTTCTTGGGAGATTCCCCTTGGAGAGAGGACATTTTGTGAATTAGTTGCATTTTCATGCTGCATACAACCAAGAGGCAAGGCGTTAAACCGTGCTGATACTCAGCCTTATTTATAGCCATGGCCCATTCTTTTTCCCCTCTTACAGTTAATAGAAAGATTCATGATTCTTCATGGTTGTCTATCTAGTGTCTGACAGTCCCGACTGCCTGCTAAAGCAAGTCACTATCTATAATTGATATCCTTCCGTGGAATAGGGTGCTGGCTGCAACTGAAGGGCTTTGCTGAAAGCTCTTAAATCCTGACAAGTTCTCCCCTTGTTCTGGTTCAGTCAGTGAGCTGCACGGTTGGAATTCCAGAGTTTTTTGAACTTGGTGCAAAAGAGAGACATGTGTTTCACATTAGCAAATCACAAAGTTGAAGAGGAGAATTAGGAACTTGGCTGAATTTGCCCGCCAGGTAGTCTCATTTCCAGCATAATGCACACCATGTACTCTTGAAAAGATTACCTCGTCCCATTACTGTTTGAACAGATGGACTAAATACTGCCTTTTCCTTCTCTTGTCCTTCATTTCAAGCCCCTGTCCTCCTCCAACTGGGGGTAGCTTCTTGGTTTGTTGTTGGGATCTTTCTCACTAAAATATTTAATTAATTTCTCCTCACAAGGAGATAACTGTAATTGGACTTAGTTACTCTCAAGTTTGTATTAAATTTTTCATAAGTTTCTTCTATGCCTAAAAGCTGAGAAGATAAATGTATAGTTTTTTTAACCAGGATTTTTATTATATTGTCCTTTTCTCTCTGTCAGTTAAACGTACAACAAGAGAGGACAAGGTTTTATATAGTACAAAAAAGTGCTTTTGATTGACTTAATTTATTATTTATTTGCAAAGAG